AGCGACCATACACCATCAGATGTTGTCGAACTGTCAGATCGTCGATAGCGTTGAATTGAGGGCAAACCCCAAGAGAGACGCGGGCATAATTCCGTGAAGCGAGAATGGAATAGTCGTTGATGAACACGTCGCCTCGATCGGGTCGGATGCTGCCTCGCTATGTTACAATCTCAGAATAATTCCTGTGCCCCTGAAAATGGACCCTCTCACAATCATGTTGAAAGTTGTCGTCTTCCCGGCTCCGTTAGGGCCGAGCAGCGCCATTCTCTCTGCGTTGACACCAAAACTGACATCGTCGACAGCAGGAATGGTCATTGAAGCAAAATGCTTCGAGAGCCCAATCACGCGCAGGGCGTCGTTAGAAGCCCTTACACGCTTCGCTTCTACCAGAACATCGGCTCCAGTTTCCCTTTCTGGAGGTGTTGCCGTGCCAAAGCGTATCCTTCGTCTGAGCAAGTTGAGAAGTTTCGGCGTTGTGAAGAATCCCGAATCTATGCCGATGAGAAGAGCAAAGCAGAGAATACCGTAGACGATTAGATACACTATGGGTCCACCGAACTTCAGCACATCTCCAGGTGGGGATGTGGTGTAGTTCCCAGTGCCGTCGCAAAGAAGGTTGAAGAGGTTAACTGAAACGAAGGCCGCGCGAACAACACTGACGATAGGGGACAGCAATGCCATTGCAAAATCTGGTAACGTTTTTGAGAAGTAGTGGTATATAATAGGAAAGCACACTTACGGACTGCGGTCAACGTCTGACTGTTGTTGGCACTCAGTTGAAAAGTCAATGTGAGCAAATAGGCAGCGGTGTATAGCTGCAATGAACCATGTTAGCAGACTAGAGGAAGAGCAGGATGAGAGATAATATACCAGAAAAATGATGACTTGGTAGCCAGCTACAATTGCGAAGGCGGCCAAGCCAGAGGTAACTGGTAGGTAGATAAGTCCGCGATTATATCTGAGGAAACTGGACGTACTGAACAGGGTCACGCAAAAGGAAAATAGGGCAGCAGTCATGCCATAAAGAGTGAGGATCACCCACTACGAGCACAGACGTTAGAAGATGCGAGCGAGAATATCTTTGAAGGACGTACAAGTATACCTGTGTGATAAAATTGGGGTGACTCTTGACCGTAGGCAAACACCAAGCTGATAATGCTGGAGATGATCACGATGGAAGGTATCTCAAAAAGAAGTCCAACTGCGGCGGATCATCAGTCTCCGTTGTTCGTAGGCAATAGCAGTAAGGTATACGTACGCCATAGACCTAGTGGTGTAAGTCCGTTGCTATAAACCATGGCTTGGACAGATGTTCGGATCATCAATCCGAGGAAAACATCTTCAAGCGATGATGCATGAACATCATATCGCGTGATTCCGAGCTCGATTTTGCGGTCCTCGATGATACGGAGAACTCGAGCCACGGCGCCAGGCTCCTTGCTGTTGAGACGTATGACATGCCCCTCTGAAGTCAAGGTCATGTGACATCCGGGGACCACAGATCTGATAGTCGCCATGAGAGCATTGGGATCCCAGCCCTAGCCCACCTTTTCATCCTCTGCTTCGCTTGCTCGGTGCAGGTTGATGATGTAGCCGTCTCCAAGGGTTAATTTGAGATGGACAGGAGAGCCGGTAGCAAGGAGCTTGCCGGGTGCTGCGAGAATCATGATTTCGTCTCCGATAAGGTCAGCCTCGTCAAGGAACTGCAACACAAAGGTAAGCAAAGCGCATATATAGAACCCGACAGCCGCACATGTGTTGTATATATGATGGTCCTTTGAGATTTGACAGCGTTCAGAGCTCTCCAGATGGCGCGTCGCGCCAATGGGTCAACTCCGGATGTTTCCTCGTCGACCAGCACAACTAGATTCTTTAGCCGGATCTCCACGCTCGCACATGCCTTGCTCACGTTCCGATTGACCAACAAGTCCAACAGCCAATTGAAGGACCGCTCATCGTACCCGCTCTAGCTTTCATCTCGAACCGACATTACAATCTTTGAGGAGCTGCACTTGGTGTGTTCCCTTCCCAACAGGCCGGTTGATGTCGCGCCAAAGCTAGTCGAGCATATCTCCAGGTGGGGATGAAGTGTAGTTGCCAAGGTATGTAGTCTTTCCTGGTGCGCATATATGTTGCCGTGTTCGGAGGCAGAATATGACACCAATCTCAGCAGGAAGAGTACAGTCAATACAGTCCATGGGGATGGGGGCCGAAAGAAGAATGTTGGTACAGTCAATACACTCAGGATGTGCGTACAGTCAATGCAGCCTCAGCACGTTTTGGTATGGCTCATCCCTTTGAACACGAACCGATCCTCGCCTTTTGGGCCACACCATCATGACGTCACTCACGTCACCCCGCATGTCCTCTTATATCGGTTTCAATATCCTTCTATATAGCGAACGTGCAGGGATATTGCCCTTCGTTCGTGTGCCCTTCTCTCTTTCTTGTTCCAACTCTTATTATTATCTTTTCACTAGCCTATCAAAGATGCCTATGCTATGGCAGCGTTGTTTGCGCCAAATTCAGGCCGATCCCGAACAGGCAGCAGAATGGAAAGCTCGCGTCGAACTGGCTCTCATTGAATCAGCTCAAATTGAAACCCCCCCTGGCATCCGGCGCAAGTACTCAAGTCTCCGCAATACCGGGGCGCGCCTTGGGGAGAACATTCGATCGAGCAAGACATTGAACCGTCACGAATCTATGGTACTAAAGCCCACTGTGGGCTTGAACGCCACGGCCGCTCAAGCTCTTCAAGACCTGGGCGGCACAGACCAACGTATCCTCGGTCTCGTACCCCCTGACAATGCCCAAGCCGAAGCAGAGAACAGCGACAACGAGGCTACACCCGCCGTGACGGGATATCTCACCGAGCGTGAGAAGCGCCAGTACGAGGACACGGTTGAGGATTTCCTTGAGCGGTTTCGGCAGGAGATGGCGGATCGTCTGCAGAGCGATAAGATTCTGGCCGCTGGGAGGCGTCTGGACAGGGCGGTGGAACATGTCGAACGCTTGCTTGGCACCAAATTGCTTCGAGGCAACTTGAAGCGGCCCGAGGACTCGCGCAAGCTGTCAAGGACCAGAGGCGGCGCGGACGCATATAGCGAACTTAAGGCAGCTCAGTCCGCCCTCGCATCCTTACGGAACAGCGCCGAGAAGAGTGCTCGGATATTTCTACGCAACGACATGAAGATAGAGTATCCGAGCCCCGAGAGTCGAGCCCAAACAACGCTGGAGCGTAAGGGCCGTGAGGAAGTCTTGAAGCACCCTTCTGCAGCTCTGGAGGTTGCAGCAAGACGAACTGTGCTTGGTACGACTCCTTGACTGCCTGCCAGTATATTTGGCTGACCTCGTGATAGCTGGCGACCTGGACATGCCCGCCACGGCCTCTGGCGAGATGTCTTTGCAAAGTTTGTTTGGAGAGGAGTTTTCTGGCGAGCGGGAAATTCCTGAGGTTCCCAAGGAAGAAAACGTTACTGGGATGGATCCTTCATATATGTGCATGTGCCACGCTCGGTGCGCCTGATTTCTGACCGGCCTGCTTGCTTGGGCTAATCAAAAAAGCAGTTTAATCATGGACATCGACACCCAATTGCCCGGAGTCGGTCCGAAAGAAGACAATGCTGTGGAAATCGAGGGGGATCGCAACCGGTTTCGTTGCAAGCAATGCCAAGATGACCCCACTGTGTCCCAGTATCAGACGAGGCAAAGGTGTTCACTGCCAGTCGCTTGAAACGGCACATGTAAGCTTCTTACTGCACAGCGCTTCTATTCCTCATCGATTTGCACAGCGATGACTTTCATACGCCACATCTCCAGGCCTGGCGCTGCTACAAGAACGGCTTCGTTAAGGGAGACTTGATCCGGGGCCCCAAGGTATGCATCCTCTGCGATTTCGCAGGAGACAAGCAATGGTGCGTGCGGAATCCCCCCTGGATTGGATCCACATCATGTCTTTCATAGGGAATCCCGTCGCATTTTCAGCTATCACATGAAGGTACATCATCCCCCACCGAGGCAAGAACACAACAATCACGCGGCCCGCAAAACCGCATCCATCCTGGCTCTCACGGAGGACGGTCCCTGCCACAACAGAGCTCATGCCATGCGCATGATGTATAAGCCTTGGACCCGCGAAACGGGAACGATGATATTGCCTCTGCAAGATTTCGACATGGAAAGTCTCTTGCTGCCCATCCCAGAAGATTTCGACCTGCAAAGTCTCTTGCTGCCAATCCCACCCGACAAAAAGGTCTTTTTGCCCATCATGGCAGAAATCGCTCTCATCGAAGTCTGATAAACTATCCCGGTCCGGTGTACATATATACATAACGGTATATCCTACTCGGAGATGATGCGTAGATGATGCTTCATAACGCTCGCTCTTCCAAGGCGTGGTTGTTCGTACCGTAGTACTGCAGCCGGCTTGCTCCTTTACACGCCGTTTATAACATCTTACATTCAAAGGGCTCGATTTCCCTCTCGATACCGCAATTTTTTCCTGACCAAGCAGCAGATTCAGTATTCCCAATGTCATCCAGAATCACTATGATTATTCAGATATCATCGTCGACGGCTCCTCAACACCGAGCGCGCACAAGAACGGGATACGTCGGACATATCGATGTCTGTTCTAGTGTCGGTAAAGCGAGGCTCATATCGACGGAAACAACACTTGGTACCTCTTCCAGCGCCTACTGCGTTTTTCTTCCCCTTAACCCTGTTGTCTGATTGCATCGTCATCCTCTCACGCCTAAACTTCCATCTCCTCATCAGATCGTAGAATCGACTCCATCGATGATTGTAGCTTCAGGGGGCAGAATTCGCCTTTTTTGTGTCTTTCCTGAACGAAAATGCCCCGTAATGTCCGAAGGATCACTAAATGAAGTCAGCCGAGAGTTTTTCCGAGACAGCTCTGCCGTGGGAAATTTGTTCCCACCCCTCAGGGACGATCAGAAAAGTCATGTTTCGTCTCTTTATTTTTCCCTCTCTTTCTCTCGACCTACCGTATTCAAGTGAAACCATGACAGCCAAGAAACGACTTACGGTAGGAGAGATCTGTCATTTGCCAAGGTGCAACACTTTGACGGCCGCCGTATCCAGGGTCGCGACGTCACGGTCTTCATCCCTCGCCGGCGCTAAGCGAGCAACCCCCAAAAGCAAACAATGCCCAACTCAACCCCTCACTTTATCCCAGCCCCTTCGTTTGGTTGGGCGAGACGGCGGAAAAGCTCACGAGAGCTGTGATTCAGTATTGGCTTCGCTCTCCGAGACAAGCCAAGCTCCTCGACCGTCGGCAGAGAGACGATATCGATGGTTCAACGAGTGTATTTGTAAGAGAAGCTCAGAAATACATGGATAGCGACCTTCTTAGCCTCATCTATGGCATCCCTGCTTATTTTTCCCAGTTTATCTAACCCCTCCGCACCTTCGGACACGCTCTTGAAGGTCTGGGCTAACTCCGCCAGGTTAAAGGTGCTCGGTCCGGCCTTCACGTTTGTATCGTCGTTCTCGTCCATTCGTGGTTGGAAGGGCAGAAGGAAGGAAGGAGTGAAGTTGCGGTTCATATATGCATGGTTCTTCTTTCTAGATTGCATCCAAAACAGTCTGTTTCCTCTGCATGGACTTGCGACAAAACGACTAGCACAGGAAGACTTTTGGAATGCACATTAGCATCCATGTTGATCAGGGTTCCTGATGTACCTCATCGATCACCAGAAGCCTGCTCTCAACCCAGTATCGAGGAGGTTCCTTCCGCCGCATGCGCTCTGGCTCGGTGGCCGGTTCACGAACGCACAGGCTGACGAGGATTGGTTTGATGAGGTACTGCTAGGAGGACTGAGCAGGATCGAGGATATCATTCTGGTGCGGTTGCATTGAGATTGTACGAATAGCTGACGCATGTGTAGAACACGAACGATGTCTGTCCCGATCGCGATCCTCGCCTTTCAGGCGCTCAGCGTCATGACGTCACCTACGTCGTTATGGAAGAGATCTGCCATTTGCTAACTCCGACATTCAGGGTTCATCCCCAGCAAAAACAATCCGCTTGACCCGGAGAAGAGCTTGAGGGAATTCATTTGCCTCGGGAGGGACATTGTGGGAGCAATATCTCCGAGGATGGGGCACCGGAGGAATTCCCTCAAGCTCTCATGGTTCGATGCATGTATTAATATTTGTAGGAATACGACTAGTATTACAAAACATGGAATACAAATCAGTTGTGGCTTGTCCACGTCAACCACGATAGCCAAGATCCCCAGGAGTTGGTATGACTTTGTTCACCGCTCCCCTCGTTGTCTCCGTTATTCTCGGCAGTGGGAAGGCGTGTATACACGTTAGAGCCTACATTTCGAGTATCACTATTTGGGATGGAAGGACCCGGAGACGTGGTGGAACATTGAGCGCCTCCAGTTTTCCTGTTCATAGCGCGGGCACGCATGCGTGCTTCGTACTGGGGGCCCGTCTCAAAATCTGGCAGCGTGATCTTGATTTGTTTCTGCTGCTTTGGAGCAGTCCTCCCTGGTACGGGCGTGGGCGTGTAGACAGGAAGCGCCTCGATCACTCGCTCCTCCGGTGGGGCACTGTAAGGTACGTATGTTGGGTCGTAGGGTGGGGGAGACCACCGTGGTTGCACCACCTTCTTTAGTAACGCGCGTCTGGCTGCTACCCTCTTTTCGTACTGTTCGCCAGTTTCGAAATCTGGTAGCTTGATATTGACAGTCTTGTAGTTGGTTCTTGCTCTGTCCTTCACAGGCGGGATTCTCACGTCGAGATCCATTGGGACAGAGGATGTCGACACAGTCCTGCTCGTGATCTCGCTCGGATTCACAGGATCGACACAAAGCGCCTCTTGGGTCTGCTGTACCCTTGACGTGCGCTCGAGCACAACCGAGTTCTCGGGATCTTCGCCTTGATCTTTATTGTTCACAGGATCGCCGTACAGCGCTGTATGGGTGTTGCAGGCAACACCAGACGCATTGCTGGTGCATGCCTTGATACATGCCCCCTCGTCACATATGGGGTTCCCCTCGGACGAAGTGGCGCTATTCGGCTTTGCTGTATCCACAGACACTATCTCGCTATTAGTGACGATTGCACAAGCGCTTCATACGGATGTATGTACCCGGTTCTGGCTCATCAGTGGATATGTGCGTACCAACACGTCCCAAGATGTCAGAGCGCAAGTCGACATCAAGGTTTCCACTCATGTTAACGAGTTTTGTACCTTCTCTTACCTCAAAATAGTAAATGTTCCAATTAGTGCACCTACCTCTTAGAGTGTTTGCAGGTTGTAGAGTTGGTGATCGTCGATGGCAAACACAAGGGGGCTGTATCTATGGCCCTTGCCATTAATTGGTCTTTCATTGTCACGTGACGTCAGGAGCCGGCAGATTTGTTTCCACCCTCACAGCCACCTAAAATATGGTCTTCAACCAGGGACGACCAGAAAAATCATGGTACGTCTCTTTCTTTTCATCTCTCTCCTCCTCCACCTACCTTCGATTAACAGGTAACAAACAATGGGAAGATAAGCATACCTGTCCCTGAGTGGAATAGGCGATTACAGCAAGTGAGAGTCACCAAACAGTGAGTAATGCCTTCCTCAACTCTTTTCTCGACAACCGACACCATACCCTGATGATATTCACAAGTGGGAATCTATCCTAAACAAATTGCGGAGACTCCTTGTTTATGTGCATTTCTTCTGATCCATATTCCGCTGCCATGTTCGGAGCCTAAGCTGACATCCACCCTTTAGTGACCTCAACCAACTCGTCATGGACTACCTCGTCATCGAGGGGTACAAAGAAGCGGCCGAGAACTTCTCACGCGAGTCTGGTCTGCAACCCCCAGTCGAGCTCAACAGCATCGAAGAACGCACATTGATTCGGAATGCCATATATAGAGGGGATATCGACGACGCGATCAATCGGACCAATGAGCTGAACCCAGAGGTGCGTCTTTGGTCCTTGGTCTTGAACTGTTCGTGCTTCGCGACATGCGCCGCCGTTCAAAGGATTAAAATCTTCATGCACCACGCTGAGCCCATGGGGGCGCTGGTGATACTCTTTACACCAAACTTCAGTCTTCAATATGATCTCTTCTATCTGCATCGTCTCATACCACAATGTACTAACCATCTTGTAAGGTCATCGACTCCAACCCGCGCCTCTTCTTCCACCTACAACAACAACGGCTGATCGAGTACATTCGCGCAGGCGACATCGAAGGCGCTATCGTTTTCGCTCAAACAAACCTCGCCCCGCGTGGGACGGAGAACCCCGAGTTCCTCCGTGAGCTCGAGCGGACTATGACCTTACTCGCATTCGACAACCCGCCGGAGGATATCGCTCCTCTACTCGGTATGGGCCAGCGGCAGAAGACAGCAAACGAGCTGAACGCTGCTATCCTCGCAAGCCAGAACCAGGGCAAGGAGGCCAAGCTGGCTGGGTTGATGAGAATGCTCACTTGGGGAGAAGCGATGCTTGATGAACGATGTGAATACCCCCATGTAGACTTGACGACTGGCTTGTTGGGAAGTGACCTGATCAAGCAGGAGGATGTTGGGCTGGATGCATGAGGAGCGAGGACAGTGTACTATTACTACAATTGTGTATTCTATGCAAGCGCTATGAGATTAGGCGATACAATAAACAGATCAACCAAGAAGCTATTCACTGCTGAGGTATAAGGGTGGTGTAAAGACGTCTATCGGGATGATCTATTTACTAGTCTGGGGGAAACCTTAGTACACATGCAGGTCGAGCTGCAGCAATGCGCCGCACCTTTTCAGCACCCAGCAATCTAAGGACATGTTCAAATACGAAGAACGCGCTGGCATTGACCGGGAACGCCCGCAATACGACTGGCCAGAATCCACGATAAAAGTTCCACAGTCCTCCCTCGGCATATATCCGCCTTCCCATCGCTATCGAACTGCTAGAGTACTTCGGCTTGACCAGATCGTCTGCCAAGATGCGGTTTTTGATGTTGTCGAATGGGATGGCGAAAGCCCAGTAGGAGAAGCTGCCCAGTCCGCCGGCAAGGAATGAGCCTGTGCCGTCGGAGAGGTTCAGAGCGCGGAAACCGCGAAGGAGCAGCTCGTAGGAAGTGAACATTGATGCAAAACAGGAGCGAAAGAGCAGCATAGACGTAAAGCCACGGTAGAGCCCGAGTGGACCTTGGGCGACGAATATTTGCTATGAGCGTTCGAGTGAGCTCAGCCCGGCATGGGAATAGGGAGGACACACACGCATACAGTCAATGCTTCCTCTGTACTTCCACTCCTTTGGATCTCTAGTCATTTGCAGCTGGAGCTTGACCTTCAACGTATCCACCGGCATAGCGATGATGCAGCTCGTCCATCCCGCCCACAGCCCTGCGACCGCGTGTCCAGAGAGGGTGAGCCTGCGCTCGCCTGTGCTTGAGGAGGGGAGACGTTCGGTCCACCCGTGCTTGATGAGGAAGAGACGGTAGTTGTGCAGGGATCCAATTAGGAGGGAGTCGATGAAGGCCCATCCTACAGCAGGGGGTGTAGCGCCTTTGTACAGTGCTAGTGGGCCCTGCGATACATGAATGTAGTGGGTTAGCGTAGAGAGCAGGTCGTGTGCCAACAAGACGCACCTCGTTCCGCACCGTCTTGACAAAACAGTCCCACGGCCCCTTGTACAACCCCGGTGGTGCACATTGTAATCGCGTCTTGACGGTGTCGAACCCGTGCCCAACTGCGACTTTTGTGACGCCGCTGCCCATCCCGGCCACGGCGCCCGCAAAGGAGAATGTCGACTGGGAGTCCGTCTTCGGGGGGTCGGGCACGGGAGGATCTTCGCCGCTCATCGTGGTGGTAAAGATGAGAGATGAGAGATCAAGAGCAACGCCCGAAGTGTAAGTGGGAAATAGATAACAACTCCAACTTCCATATGAGTTGGCCGTCAGGGTTGTTGTAAAGGTTGCTTAGGGTCTTCAATATCATTATTCTCACATATCAGTGCATCTTCATTATACCACCACCTTTGCAATATGGTGGTGAGTGCCTTCCAACGATGAATGGGTCGCTAATAACATCTTCTGGAACTCCACAGCGACTCCAGCTCTCTATCAAGGCCGAACTCGAGAATGTCACCGATCTCGTTCCATCAGAGGCAGACGGGCCGTTCGAATATCATTTCCAGGTGAGCTCTGTGGCTACTGAGGGCAATTGTTTTAATTTTGATCACCACTTAGGTGAAGTGCAACAGTTGTAACGAAATTCACCCCAATCTTGTTACTGTCAACATGCATGTGCGAGCCCAAGCAAACAGTGTGAATGCTTGCAATTGATACATTTGTGACAGGAAGAACACGACCTCACCGGATCTCGAGGCAGTGCGCACTTCGTCTGGTCCTGCAAGTTCTGCAAACGCGAGTCCTCTGCCAAATTCGAACCGGGGACGAAACCCCGTCCGTATACGGCTGACGACTCGCCTAATTTCGCACCGTTGATCACGCTGGACTGCAGAGGACTAGAGTTCACAGGGTTTAGCCCACAGGGAACTTGGGAGTGCAAGGGAACAGACAGCGGGACAAAGTTCGGGGAGATCGAGTTGGGAGAAGGCGAGTGGACGGATTATGACGAGAAGGTGAGCCTTTTCCCCAAAACGAATAGAAAACGGGGCTGACGGAACGAAAGGCGAAGCTATCCGTGAGCATCATGGAGATCGAGAGCAAATGGGCTCGAGCGCCGTAACATATAAGCCGTCTCACTGTAGTGTCATGATGGAAAGGCCATCCAGGGGTTGATGGGTACACAGAAGAGCACGGCACTCGCCAATGTGTAATTATAAATTGAATCGTACGATCATTTCAAATGCCTTGGTCACTGAAATGGATGATAGACGAAGCGAATCTATGTATCCACCTGCTTTCCATTCAACAGGACAACAGGCTCCCTGTCTAGCGCCAACAGTGCGCCAAATGCCTGCATATCGTATTTCCGTGTGGCCGGAGCTTCTCTGTGTGCAGACGGCGGTTCTATCGGGCCGACCGCACAAGTTTGTTCCGCTGCCGATCATCCCGAGAACATTACCTACCTTAGCCACAGAACGTTTCGCTGGCACTACCAAACCTCCGATATCCTCTCTTCTCTTCCCTCCTCACTGCATCCGAGCACTTCTTTCCCGGCCCGGCCACCCGCATATCTCCACCTACATCTCTCACTTCCTGCGACGAGCAGCAAGGCCGCAAAGCATGGCAGTCCCAAACGAGACCGTCCCCATATATGTTTTCAAAATACTCCTCCCGTCAGACTTCCCCACCGGCGTCCCTGCCGCATCCTCGTTGTGCTCCATCCCCGCCATGCCTTCAACATCGCTCGATCAATCCGAGGGGTTCATACACCTTTCTCGCGCCCGTCAGCTCCTCCTCCCACTTTCGCGCTTCTTCATCTCGGAGGAGTCGATCGTGCTGGTCCGTGTCGTATTTGAGCGTGTAGAGAAGGATGTGAGGTGGGATAGGACTGCGAGTGGGGATGAATATCCGCATCTGCTCAGACAGCTCGCCGGCCTTGATTGTGATGAGGTAAAGACGGTGAGGAGGATGGGAAGAGAATGGGAAGAGGTGCTCGAGAGTGAGAAGGCGTGGGTTTGGAGCTAGGAGACGAGGTATGAATGCTCGTAATGACCATGGGGAGCAATGACCATGGGGAGCAATGACCATGGGGAGCAATGACCATGGGGAGCAATGACCATGGGGAGCAATGACCATGGGGCTGGCCTCGTAGACGAACGTTGAATGCTCTATGCTCGTACACACTACTAGCCTCAATGTGTGCGGAGAATCACCCGCTGGCACCGCGTGTGCTGCATGCGTCCGCATGGTCGTTACGAGTCTCTGTTCACAAGGCGCAGTGGATAAAGACGAAGTCACTGATGGAGAAGGCGATGAGGTGGATGCTTCGGTCCCGCTGAATTGACAGCCTTCTCACATTACGATGTCAGATCGGAGTGAGAATTACAGATTTCAGGGATACATTAGACAGATTACAGAATTTGGGTTGTGACAGATCGGTGAGATGCTAATAGATCATATGGCGTAAACAAACAGCCGAACGAAGGGACAATATACAATATTGTGCCTTCATATGAACGACACATACCGTCACTGACAGTGGGTCACGTATTAACAGTGCTAGACCAGCGCGGCGTGGATGTCGCCGCATATATGATTCGTTCATTGATAAGATGAGAAATCCCCGACATAGGCCCTATTATGACGGTGAACCCCGGTTCAGATCACGGAGCGAATGGAACTCACGTCACATCGGTGGAGATGTCCTCCGTCGCGCGATACACACCAAATTTGATACTGCAATGTGTTATTAGCTGACGTATTCCAGCAATATGTTTTTTTTGACTTACTAGGTACCTGAGCCCATATAGCCCGTGACAGAATAAGAAATGAGAGTAGATGAACCATCAGTGACGTCATAATCGATCCGGCCGTTGTTCCCACTCGTGATGACCATACGATGTTGCGTTACTCTTCCTTCATAAGCACCCAGAGCGACAGTTGGCCCGCAAGGGTTGCAGTTTCGGCTATGGTCGTCAATTCGAATCGTATCTTGCCTGGGTATCCAGGGTCAGCTTTACAGCTGGCAGACTGCGCCTCAAGGCACTTACTGAGCATCCAGGGCCAGGATCGGACCATCATCCTTGGTGGAGAAGACTTGCATTAGATGAAAGAAGTGGGAAGTCGAGCCGGTCCCTGGAGCAAGCAAGTGCTTCCACTGGTAGGTATAGGTCGATCCATCGGCCTGGGGCGGAAAGTGCAGCTCGGCGCGCTGTCTTGGGCTCCAGTTGCCGGGTTCAAGATTAGTATTAGGGTCGGAGGATAAAATCATGCCGAAACAGTCGGCAATGCCTGGATTGTTGGAACATCCATGGGTGAGCACCCCGCTGGCTTGCCAGGTCAATCCCTCGACTTTGCCGGTCTTATAGCTTGATCCATCGGCCAGCGTCATTACGGATGGCGAGGCGCGTGAAGCAGCCAGCATGGAAAGGAGAAGAAAAGACGAAGAGGCGAACGAAATCATGGCGAACGAAATCGAAGAAAATTAAGGATGAAAGAATACGCTAAGAGAGTCGTTTGAAAGGCGAAATCCATCAGGTGGCCGTGGGCGCTTTCTTTTATACTGTAAGCATGAGTAGGACGTCCAGCAGTGCAACCTCAGACAGCCGCTCATGCGGCAGACAGCGCCTGGGCAACCTCGGACATGGGGCGGAAGAGATTGCACGGAAAAGGAGGAGCCGCGACGATGACGGAAAGCTGTTTCCGGCATGGGCGCGGCAGACAGGGCAGGAAGGGACTCGAAACGGAAATGACCTGTGCGGGGGCACAGGATTCTGAGCATGAATACCGAGGGGAAGAAGACGGCCATGTGGCACCGCGGTCAGGGGCTTCATAGCAACGGAGGCGCTGGTGACTCGTTTCACCCCACGTTTGGTTGACAAGTAAGAGATCGTATTGTTGGTCTTCCAGGGCTGAGCCGCCCGGACTTAGCGGGGAGGCGATTGGTCCGCCTCGAGCCGTGTTGGTGCCGAGATCGCCAGAATCGCGGTACTCAATGACGCAACTTCTTCACCTGTCCGGGCACAGAAGATGGGTTTCCGATCCAAATAGTAATTCGATCGTCCCAGAGAGCATGACATGAAATACCAGGGGCAAAAGGCAGAAAACCAACTGGCATAGGGGGTCACATCCGGAACAGAGTACTCCCGTCCGTCCCGAATCCATGACGACGACCTTGTGCCCCAATTGAGTGAGCAGGTGATCCATAAGTGCTCTAACAGGAGAGCGGGCGAGACCATTTTCCAGCCGAAACCCGAGGCAGACAGAAGGGACCACGGAAAAGACGTGTGGTCAATCCTCACAACGAGATTGGATTCCCATAGAGCATCGATGCCCATTATTCATTTGTCAAGCAGTCAAATTTCTATAGCAGATAGAGTTGCGATCGAGTATCACGGGGTTTGATTAGATGGTGATGGTGATGGTTGCTTGTGATGTCGCGACGTCCCTTTCTTCCCCCTGTCGAGATGGACCGAGACACAGGCATAATTTGCAGTTATTGCCCGCTCTTCCGACCCACAGCAAGGTAAGTACTCCTGCAATCTCAGTTGAATAGGGTGTTATCCGATTGACGAATCACGTAACTACAATCAGTTCAAGACTATCGGTTCTCAAGGGACAATGAGCATGGCGGCGTACGTACCGAAACAAGGCACAGACTGAATTTCTATTGAGCATATCTCTGCTTTGTGGAGACAAGGTCCGTAGAGTACAGGTGCGTGTGAAACAAAAGCAGTGTAGAAAGTACAATTTGGGCATAGGTGCTACCAGCGAATAATTGTGTCAGAAAATTGAATAGAGAAAGCCGGCAAGAGGGATGCTTCTTGGTGCGGACTGAACTCTTCCGCCTCCCCTTCCACGCTGACTTCCCACGACGATCATGCCGCCGCCTGCTTTCTACACCCCCGGATTAATCCAGCCAGCGTACAATGCGATCGCCTGTTCCCATGTCTGGTCCGACCGCCTTGACAATATCACGAGGCTTTCGCATTCATCGCCCCTGAGGTCCCGGCACAGATGCGGATGGAAGTCCCCTTCTGGAGTGCGATCCCACCGCGTGTTGTCCTGAACGGAATACATGATGACTCGAATCATCATCGCTTGTAAGGCATTTTCGTGCCATTGCTTCAACGGGATGAGGATCTGACGCGACCGCCACAGATGAACGTAGCCTTCGTCTCGGTCGGGGTCCGTCATGGGTATAACGGTAGGGAAGGGATTTGATGTCAGACTCATCGCTGGGAGCACCCTGTAGAGGTATCGGGGCTTGGGCTCTCCTAAAAACAAGTAACGACTCGACATGTTGGGTGTTTGTGAGGGCGGTTATGGGGCAAATGTGTTGACCGTGGAGGGGCAAGTTGGATAATGGGCCAGCTGGTAGGTTCGGCACTGTTAGCTCGGGTTTATCACTGAAAAGCGTCTTGCCATTGCCGGCGGTAAGTCAACATCACACGCTTCCCGCCTGCACAGGATATCTACTTTTACATACGTCCTATTGTACTCCCGCTAAACCCCGTCAAGGCGACCAAGTGACCTGTCAGCCTCATCCCTTCGTGCTCCCTGTGCTACCCGGTTTGGCCGTAAACCCGTAAGAAGTGAAGGTCAAGATGGATACGATGAGCTCTTCCATCCCACCTCGCGCTAGTAGCGCCTACTTGCGGCCTTGCCGGATTGGCACTAACCCTCACTCAGCACGCTGAGTATGAATTCTTCCGATTCCTAACATATACTATAAACGGATGACCCGGTTTCCCCGTCCCTTCACCTTTTCACTTTCGCTGGGCACATGACGCCACGCTACTACTCCAGCCAGCCTTCGGTCACCGACTGCTCCAGCGCACCCTCCCACCCCGAGTTTGAGGAGCCGCTGGATCCAGGAGTGCGTCGAGTTAATGTCTTCCAGCTTGCGACGTCACTTGCCGTGAGGTCCCGATACAAATGAGGGAATACTTCTCCGCTTTTAATGGTTTCCCTGATAGGCGATGATAGGCCCGCCATCAGCGGTATTCACTCCCGGGCCGGCCCAACAGAAGCCTTACCATTTGATCTGCGGTTTGACGGTGGGGTAGTCAACCTTCAATAGGGATACTTCCTCGGAGTCGGCAAAAAAGCGTGACAAGGTTCGGAGCAGCTGGGAATGCACTGATAGATGGATGAAGCCATCGTTTCGATCAAGTTCCGACAGTGGGAACACGTCAGGCAGCGGCGTGGGCGGCGCCGTCGGAAGGATCTTGTAGATGTAGGACGGTGCTGGAGTAGGTTCGCTCATGGCCGTGGCAGAGTGCGCGCGTCCTGATGTGTCAAAGATGCCAGGAAATGGCGGTGCGCAGAGGCGTGCGCTGGCCAATGCCGTCAACAAAGACACCTCTCTTCTTGCTACATACTTCTTGAAAGTGATGCAAGTCTTCTCTTTATTTCAGAACCCAGGCACGGGTCCTCGTTGTCCACGGACTACTCCAAAAGTCAATGGTCGAACATGACCAGCGAGCAGTACACGTAAAGACCCTGGTACAGCAGAGCCTCAAGGAAATATATGGCGTCATTACTATCGTAGTCGACTGAAGAAGCAAAATACAATACATGTGGTTGCATGCGACGGAGCAAGTTCGGGATATACGGATGATATATGGACGGACGACTACGCATAGATGCTGAGGGGTGATGCGGCGACGGGCGATTCTGCAGTTCGGGATGCTTGCGGAAGCTGGAAAAGGCACAGACCAGTCCATGGAACCGGGAGGATGCCGTGACGAGCGGGATATCTATCAACCCGTTTAGGGTCGAGGTTTCGCACCCTCGAAACTCAGAAGCGAGCCTTCGTCGTGATGCCTTCGTGTCCTCTGTGCTGCAATGTGGAGGGAGCGACGCCGAAGGAGTGTTCGAGTTCGATGCCCTGCTCCGGCAACGACGTCAACAAGCCGATAGGATAGGCTCGGATCAAATGGGAGGGCCTACCATTTCTCCGGCCGCGATCAGCCGTATCATGGACCAGTGATGTATTGCATGCAACCCTGCAAACCAGAGCTGCACCGGAAATAATGACCCATTAGTATACTTTGGTAGAGACACGACTGGGCAAGATATTCCCATACCTCACGACCCACTGTGGTCTGCATCACTTGCTTGAACGGTGTCACTGCCTCCAGTGTGATGGGCTCGTCCAATATACTCTGCCCTTTCTCCTGCAAGTCTCGCAATTGCTTGATAGTTCCTTCTAACTCCAGCGCTGCAATACGACGTGATGTTTCCATTGGTACATTTCGTGATCGAATGTCATAATTCAATTGTAGGGGCTTCGGGCGCGATAGGCACTACAATACTCCATAAGCGAACGTTTCGAGCAGCGGAAAACAGAGGTCAGCGTACCAAAAGTAGCAGGTTGAAGTAGTCCCGAGCATGACGGAGATGCTTTCCGATGCTCGAACCCGGCAGCATCTTGCTGTCATACACCAATTGCTCGTCTTCTTTGAGCACGTTCTTGAGGAGGTCGACACCTTGCTGCAAGATTGCCGTCGACACAAAAATATACTGTTCGAGCGGCCTGTCCTGTACACTGCCAGTATCATCGTAAGTTTGAGCAGACATATGGGCTGTACGGTCACTGGTCATGAAAGGGAGAGGGTGAAAGAGTATTTCTTTGATGGTCGTGGACTGGGCACGTCGGCCGGACGACTTCCTGAAGGTCTCCAACAGGTTGGTAGAAGCCTCGCTTTTAGTAATTGCTTCCGCTCATCAGGAGCGAGGAGTCCGAGGTCCAACGACACGGCAAGCCAAAAGCAAGGAACCCGCTTTCGACGACCACCTCTATAGCAAGTTCATGGGCTCAAACGAACGCAAAACATCTATCATTAATGCACTGGATTCAGCAACATGGTCTGATACTCAACCCCCCTTCTCGTGATCTTCTGGATGGATAGGGCGTTTGTTAACTAAATTGTCTTGCCAGCGCATGGTTTGTCATCAAGGCGCCCGTGGTTGTTCTGGCCGGTCCTGTTCCTCCAACTTCCGACGGTCTACAAAATGCTTATATTTGGCATCCTTCATTGTCGAAACCAGCAACGGACACCAGGACACCTGGTTTAGAAAGTTGTCCGCGCGCAGTGTGCGGTTCTCACGCTTCGCAACACACGCTGTTTCTGCATTGCTTCCATCAGCCGCATTGTCTTATAATGGTGACCTTATGCTACATCAGCTTCGTCTATTATAGTTCATGTGATCATCTTACAGAGCAGCTGATGGAAGATAATGACGACCGGCCACACATTGCCCTTGTAACGTTCAAGACGTCAAGAATATCGAGATGTATCCAATATATTTGACACAAGTTATCCTCCACCCGGGGCATATAATTGCCACGATATCTACAGGCGATTTCTAGCTCTGAAATCTCCGGTAGATACGCCATGTTTACCGATCTGACTTTATTTGTGCTCGTCCTGGGCCTTATGGGTCAGAAGAACTTGGCAGCAGCAGTAACGACCTTGGGCGACGGAACAGCATACGAAAGTGGCAAAGTGGAAGGAATGACCTGGCAAGCCTCAGGTATTCTAACGCAGGGATGCACCGACAGCGTTTCCAAGATTGACGACTGTTACGAGATGACTCTGTCTTCAAATCCGAATGACAACCTCGACCCGGGGAATTGGACAGCTCGACAGCGAAACGAACTGCACTTTCCGCCCCAAGCTGATGGATCGACCTGGAATTATCAATGGAAGCACTATCTAGCGTCTGGCGTGGGCTCCACGACCCATTTCTTCCACATGATGCAGGTGTTCTCTACAATGGATGATGGGCCGTTAGTGACTCTGGATCCAATGTAAGTCCGCTTGCAATCAGGGCATACGATCGGTGCCGACGAATATATCCACAGATCTGGCGCCGTTAGGATAACGGACTACGAAAGAGGCTGCAACCCTTGCGGCCCAACTTACAGTCCCCTGAGCAGCTGGGAAGGCCGCACAACAATGCACGAGATGACCCTTACTAGTGGGTCTAACGGCAACCTGCAGTATGCTGTATCAGACGCCTCTACGGGTGCCGCGCTTATCAGCTACTCCGTTTCAGGATACATGGGTGGTCAGACCTAGTAGGTCTCCATTGAATGAGATGGATGTGACTATTCATTCCCCTCAAGTGTCAAGTTTGGTACCTATCGTGCCACAGAGGACATAACGACGGGTGTGACGTGAGTGTTCTGGATTCGCCTGGTATACAGTTCACTGAAAATCCGTGGATTTAGTGCCTATGTTGGTGATTTCGCTTCTTCCCAACAGTAGGAGATTGATATTCATGATGTACGGCTGAATTATCTGGCTTGTCTTCCGACCCTTTGGTCCAGCCCTGCCCTGCCCATTGTAACCGTATGAACTGCCGAACACCATTGAACTTCGTCTTCGAGGAAGGTGTTGCCTGCCAAGGGCGAACACGGTGTGATGTCTTTGAACAACGGCGATCGTGTTACTCTGGTTCCAGAAAAGGAAACAATGGTCCAATTGCCTCGTTACTCAGGCCAGAAGTCCCTTCCTCCAGTATCCATCAAGGAGAGCCGCAGCCGTAGATGGCCTTTGTTCGCTCCTATTCAATCACCGTTCGGCATCCGAGGGAGGACCCGTGTTGATCATCTTCGGAACACATGATGCGCCTGCAGTTTTCCACACCGTTCCGTGCCGTTCTCTAGTACAGCCCAGGCGTTGTCGGAAACGGTGAGTCCTCTGCCCTTCCTACAACAAGAAGATCCGCATTTTGTGCGATGCAAGAATTTGTCCGTTTACTACGGCATCTTCGCTCATTGTATGTGGCCGAATTTACGCGTCTCATCAACCCTGATATCGGGAGGGGATCTTTCGCATGTGATCAGGCACCCTTCTCTTTCTTACAAGAGGATAATGTACTCGGCGAGAAGTTATTGATGGATCACCGAATCAGTCGACTTATCGTGAGGTTGCTCAGGCCCGCCTTCTTCGGATCCTCTAGTTAATGAAATATCCTACCTGAATCTTTCGGTTCAACCTGCTACATCCAATACCAAGTCACATCCGCGGGAAGACCTTTGGTCTGTAATGACTCCTTCAGAGCATGAGAGAAGAAGTCTGTGGACCTGTGCCTGTGATGTCGGCATTAGGCAAATAAGGTTCAGTTGTCGCACCCATATAATCATACCTTTTTTGGTCATCTCCACATCGATTAGCCCTCTTACCAGACGGCGTCCCTCCTCTCGTGGCAGCTACGACATGCCACGTAGTCGGTATACAGGCCTGAGCTCCGGTTGGTCAAGTGGTTGACGATTTTCTGGTGGTCGTCGGCCAGGGAAGATGCTTCATTGTAATGCACGTAACGGAACGCAAAAAAGTGGCTGTGCTAGGGGTTGAGGTGTTCGGAATGTAACGTTACCATGTTTCTTCCCTTTCCTCTTCCCTGCCCACCTTGACCACTGTGACGATGTGGCACCTTTGCAAACCCTTGACTGAGCTTGCTAGATATCTGGTGGGTGTTGAATGGCCTGCTGAGAGCAAATCCATCCATGTCTAACAAGATTGGTCTGCCCAAAGTTAAATTCCCTAAAGAAAGGTCTCGTGCTTTCGCAGCACGCGCTGATCTGAAGACGCGACTTGGCATGCTGATTCGCGGACCTGACTCGTGTTCTGGCCAGGAACCCAATCTCCGTCCTCAGTTGTAGAGATTGAACGCTGCTTAATAGCATGATCGGCTCTGAAACGCGGCTTGACTAGCTTCTCTTTCCGTGTTCTTGCTTCATTCCCCGTGGATTCTGGTTGGCTAAGACGCCTTTCAGTATGGCTGGAGCACGTCCGCCGTCATCCACTCAGGGGCTAGAGGGGGTTTAAGGAATGATCAACCTTGATCGGCCATCCAGTTTTCGCCTAAGCTCTGAAGACGGATGCCCTGTCTTGTCGGCTTCAACTTCGTCACTTTGACCCTGGAGTTCACGTGGTCAAGGTCTGCTGGTCTCTTATACCCAAGCAAGGAGTATCGCCTATACTGTGTGCCTGGCTAGTACCGCCCTGCTTTGCTCCTCTTTTCCTCTCACAGCTCAAGCGCCGGCGCCGGACCGCTTCCCTCAACCAGAGAATAGCAGTGGGACGGCCGTGTTGGTGCCCCGAAGGCGAGGAGGACAAGAAGAAGATAGGCGCCATGGATATGCAACAGATTATCACTGCACTGGTGGATGTGCAAATCAGCCGATATCTGTCGTTGTCGAGCTATGTTGCTCTTATCTATGATCTGAGTACGTTTGCTTTCTCTACATTGATGCATCCCGTGCTGACTGAATTGTGAAGTTTTGACCCTACCTACTGAGATTGCGCTCATTTGGAATGGCCGATGGTCGATCGTTAAGATTCTTTTTTTCATCGTTCGTTATACGTGAGTTGGAACAAGCATTTGTGCACGATCCTCATATCCTGACAATACTGCCACCTTGCAGTGTACCAATAGTAATCACGTGAGTTTTGTCACTCTTGTCTACCATTGGGAGACGTGCTGACCGCATCGCCAGCATCAATCTTGTTCAACTTACTGGCTACTCTAACTTTGTTTCTGGAAATCTCTCTACTGCATTGTACGTGAAACCCAGGTCTTGACAGATATCTATCTGATCACATATCGCAGCTGCCAGCGTGTCATCCTGGTTCTCATCTATTGGCAGCTCATTGCGCTTGCCATGGTGGACGTAATCGTTTGCCTGCGCATTTGCGCGATCTGGCAGCGACGCAAATCGGTGTTTATCATACTCGCTTTTCTGTGGTTCGTCACATATGCGATCACGCTGAGCATGACGATCTGGATTACGAAAACTGCGTTCAGTGCGTCAAGTCTCACGTTGTCTTCTATGTTATCTAACAGGTTTATGCTCAGATACCATCGAGTACATCCCGCAGATCAACCTCTGCAGTGCTGCCCCGCCCGAGTATCTGTGGACAGCTTGGCTCCCCGGAGTGGTATTCGAAGGCGCCGTCTGTACACTCACCGCTATCCGGACGTTCCAACATTGGAGATACGACGGCCTCCCGCTGAAGGATGCGCTTGCTCAAGATGGCCTTATCTACTTCCTATTCGGGTTCGCGACGCGGCTGTTTGATCTGTTCATCTGGGGCGGAGTGCACACAGTCGTGAGTCAACTGGGATATGCTCGAAAGACGTCGTCCTGACATCCCGATAGACATATTGGGCGCTCCTGGGCGAACAGTTCTCCTTCGCCCTCACAGGCATCGTATGCTCTCGTCTTCTGCTCAACCTGCGCGGCGTTCGCACAGAAAAAGACTGGGCCGAGGCAACGGACGTCCTCTCGGTCGTCTCCTCTCCTACAGGCTCGCAGGAGACGCATAAATCCAAGTCGCATAAGAACGAGAAGTCAGCTCCGTCCCACACGCTCTGGGTGGCCGACACCGGAGTTGGATTGAGCTTCTTGGAGCAGATCTATGAGAAGGTGTATAATGCCGAGCTCAGGCCGACGTTTGCGTACATCGATGAGTATGACGGAAGTCCATAAAGGGAGGTCACGTGACCGAACAAGGCGGAGACGATGCGAGGCAATGGGATCGCTTGCATTTGGGATACGGGCAGATATGCAGACAGGGAATGTATCAATAGGAAGGGTGGATATATGTCAAGGACCTTTGTCACACATCTTCGAGAGGCGGTAAGGGTCTCTGAGAAGAGTGCGGGATTATGCCGCCGTTCATTTTGCAGAAGAGGAGCGGATAGTTCCACATGACCGACAATTGTTGTTTTGTACTCCGGAAAGTCTTATGCAGGTTGTAAGAAGTGTAGGTTCGCAGTATCAATCAAAATTGCTGTTTGACCCTCCAGAAAGTGTTGTTTTCAAGAGGGGGCTGACCACTGGATACGGGAATAAACGGATTGGATTTTGGTGCTATAACACGGTTGGTGCCGTCTCTCGGCGACGCGGCATGAGGGCTTTCCGCATCAGCGGTGCGCTGTGTATGGGAGGGGAACGGAATCAATCCACTGTCACGCCTCCGTTCCCTTCGCCAATCTCCCTCACTCTCCCCTTGCTCCTCCTCCCTCCTCCGTCACCGACGTCCTCTCTCTCCTTCTTGCTCGTCGTCGTCGCTGCCGGTGTATGCGCCTAGGGATACAGTGACAAGTCGTATAGACATCACATCCTTCTTCCCTCACCGCCACCGTCACGCACTTGTCTTCCCTGAGAAAATTACACCAGATGTCAGTCTCCCTCCTCCGTCCAGCCGTGCGCGCCCTTCCTAGGGCCACCGTCGCCCGCTCCACCCTCGCGGTCCGCAGTTATGCCTCCTCTTCCGCACCCATACTCGTCTCCAACATCGAGGCGCAGTGGAAGGGCATGACACCCGAGGAACAGAACGAGGTGCACAAGTCGCTCGAGCAGCTCCAGAAGAAGGACTGGAAGCAGCTCAGCTTGGACGAGAAGAAGGCTGGTATGCGCCTAGTTCCCTTCCCTAGGGTGCATCGTCGCTGATTCCGCTTTCCCCGGACATAGCATACTACGTCGCATTTGGCCCCCACGGTCCCCGCACCCCGATCGTACCCCCCGGTAGCGGTGTCCGGGTCTTCTTTGGCATTGTCGGCGTTGTTGGTGTCGCCGGTCTTATCTACGCCATCACTCGTTCCTTCGGTACGTCTCCACGCACCATATATTCGCTGAAATATATGACTTACACATGTTCACAGCTCCTCCTCCCGTAAAAACTATGACTCGTGAATGGCAGGAAGCCACCAACGAGCAGCAGCGCCGCGACAAGGTCAATCCATTCTCCGGTGCGCTCCTTTTTGCCTTCGTAAATAACGTCGGTGCTCACATTATCTGCAGGTGTCGCCTCGGAGGGCTACAAGGGAAAAGGCAACATCCAGTAAACGAGTTCTGTGTACTTACAGCTACAAACTGGGCCGACTGGGCCCCGGTTCCGCCGGCCCCGTATATATTAGCATATTGTCTGCAAAAGACGAATTTGCCGAATCAAATTTCTTTCTCTCACCTGGAACGTACGCGTTGGCGGCTGATTCAGACAGAAACGCCAGTATGCTCGAATTGCTACGTCACCAACCGCAAATCTGCAAGACTGCATGAATCGTGCATAATGATACGTCTAGAGTCCAGGTATCTGTCTATCTATGGTCTATGAGTCCGCCGAGCTCCCGATGAAGATCGTCTCTATCATATCAATGTCAGAACAGTCCGCACCAGCGTCTTCTTCTCTCCGGTTTTGTATCTCCTTCCTCTCCCACGAGTCTTCCATCCTGGTCACCCCTGACAACTTTCAGGAATACGCTCTCGAGCCCAAGTCGCTCGACGGTGTGCTCCAGCCCTTCCGCACCTGTATCATGTCTAGCCTCCACCTCCGCCAAGCGCTCGAACAGATCTGCCAGCGTCCTATCTTCGAGCGCAATTTCGAACCGTGTCGAGACGTCCTCCGCTTGCTTTGCGTCTGGGAAAGCGGCTGCGATTAGCTGTCGAGCGCGCATTTGCTGCTCTGCTGTTCGCGCTGAGAGATGCACTTCGTACACTGCGTAGCGTGCACACAGCGCGGGGACTGTGTCGATAG